CATCCTCCAGCAGGAACACTGTTTTGGGCCCTGCTGCCTCTAGTAGAAGAGGTCTCCCAAGCACAGCTCTCCTGACTCCTCATCCTCACCCGGACTCGGAGTCAGGAAGGGCTTGCAACCCTTTTGGCACTGCTAACCTTCTATTCACACCAATCTCAAACTTTTTCTCCATGCTCTTCCACCCCAATGACCAAGTTCTTCTCCAGATCCATTGTCTTCAGAGTGCTGATCTCTAATCCCTCTCTTATAGATTCACTGACACCCATCTTCCCACAGGCCCACCTGGCTCAACAGAGGCAGAAAGTTTGTGTTGGGTCTGGAGACTTAAGGCAGATGAGTGAGTAGCCCATCCCCCCTTGGAGAGCACTGTGATTCCTGCACCCTGAGAAGGAGTTGCAAACCTGCATTCCTGTACCTTGAGGAGGAGATGCAGGGTCTCGTATATCTGCCACAGGGCAGATGAGCAAAATGCTCTCAAGAGGTTTCCCCTCCCCCAATAAGGGGCAAACAAACCAGTTCACCTAAGAAAGCCGTGAATCCACAGTCAATGAAAAGAGCCCTCCTAACCATTACCCAAACCCAGAGTTAAAACGTCCATAAAAACCCCAGCCTTCACCTGAGCAGCAAGCTACCAGTTCCCAGGCTCCGCTGCACTGCTCTAGCTGTTGCCTTTCCTTTCTCTCTAATAAATCTTACTTCGTGTACTGGCCTTGGCTCAAAAGTCAATCAGCTGCCTCATGAGCCAGTTCTCTGGCCTGTGAAGGCAAGAACCCTGGACACCAGCCTGCAACACCTCAAACGGACATGTAACAGTTGGAGTGGGGAGGAGAAGAGAAGGGACTTCATAGTCAAAAATGTGGCTCTGAAACATGGATGTTAATGATCCATCCAGGCTCTCAGGGTCCTAAAAAGCACCCGTTATTAGTCTGCTTGCTGGCTACTCAGGGTTTTAAAGAAAACAGCTGTACTCCAGTGACATTAAAGCCAGTACTTTTCCATTATATCAGTGAGCACAATGTGTTACTTTTTTTTCTCTAGAAAGTTTCATTGGAATTGGGGGAAGGGCATTGTTATTTCCAATATCAATTCTTTCATTGATTAACAGGGTAGGCTAGTCAGCTTTCTGATACTGGGACAAAATACCTGAGAAAATCAACTTGAAGATTTATTTCAGTTCATGGTTTTAGAGGTTTCACTCTTGGTTGTTTCTGACTGCGGTAAGGCTGAACATCGTGGTAAGGAGTGCACACTACAGCAAACCCACTCACTTCATGGCAGGTGAGAAGTAGGGCAGGCAAGGGGATGGGGGACAAAAGCCACAAGATACACCTTTCAAAGGCATGCTACCAGTGACCTACTTCCTCCAACTAGGCCCACCTCCTAATAGCCCATTCACCTTTGAACCATAATGGATCAATCCATTGATGAAGGCAGTACTCTCCTGATACAATCAGTTCTCAATGATGCTACCAGCTGAGGACCAAGATTTCAACACACAAGCCTGTGGGGGTACAGTTCATAGCCAAATCGTAACACAAGATTCTTTCATATAAATCATAATAGTTTTTATATAGCAAAATTCTAGCACCTGAATCAACATGTGTGAAGTTTCTCTTACCCACTAGAATGATCCATTTAAAAACAGAGAAATTTCAGTCTGGGTTGTGGCTCAGTGGTAAAAACGCTTGCCTAGCATGTGTAAGGTCCTGGGTTCAATACCCAATACAAAAAAAAAAAAAAGTAAAAAAATTTAAGTCTTCCTTTTTCATTAAAGAAAAAAAAAAAGAAAAGTGGTTGCTTTTCCCCACTGTTTTAAATAAGACCTAAGTGTGAGAAAAAGTTTTCAGAAACTGCATCCCACCCTCCCACTGTGACAGCTTTTTGCTCACTCTGCAGTGGGTGTTTTCCAAACTGCGCTCCCCAGAGCCCTGGGGGTTCTTGAAGAAGAGAAAGCAGAGGATTTGTGACCTAGCACCCAGTCTCGTGGCTGGGACTGCATCTTTTTGCATAATTTTTTTTTGCACAGCCCAAGATTTCATTCAAAGGTTTCCTTAGCTCAAGCAAATTTGAAAAACACTTCTCTAAAACAATTCAAGTTGTTTCTCAGTTTCTCAGCAATTAATGTATTTAGTTTCCTAATCCAAAATACTTCTTTTATATCACCCAAATCTAATTCCATAATCCGATTTTAGGTCTCTAGTTTTCCTACTTTAAATTCTTGTACTTCATGCTGATACCGAAGGATTTATTCCAATAAATATTTTTAAAACACCACCATTCATGCATTTCAGTCACTGGCAGCATCCATGCATCTATAAATAGTAATTGTGTACTCTGTGTGTACAAGTTGCCTTGTTTTAAAGGGAAGAGAACAGGTTCTGTGTTGTTGCCCTGCTCCCCGGCAATGGGATGCCTTCCTCCTCCTCCCCCTCCAGTCTCAATTCTCAGGGAATCGACTCTCATTCATATTTCAGGGCTAAGTGTCTCTTTCTCAGGAGTTCTTCCCTGATCTTTGTCTCCCAAACAATGCTACTTTCTCTGTTCTATGCTTGTCAAAAGTATACATGTTTAACTGCATGTTGTCTTTAACACCCTGGAGAGGGCTGGAAGTGTGGCTCAAGTGGTAAAAGAGCCTGTTTTGCAAGTACAAAATCCTGAGTTCAAATTCCAGTCCCACCCAAAAAAAAAAAAACACCTGGGAGAAAGAAAACTTGTAGATGTTTTTGCCACTTTACCCAACCACTTAGCATACAACCTGGTGCAAATTTCTCACTCAATATCAAATGAATAAATGAATGAGTCATGAGTGTCACTAGTCTAGCATTTATTAATCCCTGCAACAAACACATTGTCATTGATGCTGACTACTGGGGTAGAACTAGCTATCTAACCTCCAGTAGTTTATCACCTAGAAAATGAGACACAGAGGTTGAAAATATAATCAGCTAATTTGTGGTAAGTTGGAGACCTTGTTTTTGGTTTATTAAATGAAAAGTAAAGATCCAATTGGTTGGATCTGCAGGAATTCAGAGAGGAGAGAACGAAGGTTTGGAGCCTCTTCCCTCTAGACAGAGGAGAAAGTGGGGAGGGGCAATTACAGTAGGAAAGGGACACGGTTAGTATCACTGCAGATGTGGGAGAACCTTCACCAGGTATCCAACAAATACTTATTAGACATTTACTCCATGGGAGGTACCATTCTGGGCCTTGGGGATACAGTGGTGAGCTGAAAGACGTATCCTAGACCTCCTGAAACTGGGTACAAAGCTAATACCAAAATAAACAAGTACACATGTCAGGAAATAACGGGTGCTATGGAGAAAATGAAACAGAAAGACGAATACAGAGTGACAGGGTTGCTACTTGAGACTGGCTGCTCAGGGAAGAGCTAAATCCCAAATAACAAGATGGTACCAGCTATGCCAAAGTCTGAGAAAAGAGAAGCTGAGGCGAAGTAAATAATGTACCAAGGTCCTGGGACAAGAAAGAGTTTAGCACATTGCAGAAGCAGGAAGCAGGCAGATGTGGCAGAACATATGAACAAGGGAGAGAGTGGTTGAAGACACACTCAGAGGTGGATGGAGCCTCTGCAGCAGGCATGTGGGGTTTGCTAAGTGCAGTGGGAAGCAACTGGAAGGTTATAAGTACAGAAATGCCAAGATTAAGAGAAAAGGGACTCGGAGAAGAGTAGTTTGGAGCAGAAGACATTTTTTTTTTCCCAGAGCAAGAACATCTGAGACCAGAAACAAAGACAGACTGTGGAGGGTTTTACACACTGGGTCAAATTTAGACCTTATGTTCCAGGGCCCAGAGAGTTATTACACAGTTTTTAGCGGGAAGTATCTGATCAAAAAAAACTGACCTGAAGATCCTACCTAATTCACAGAGTGATCTCCAACTTCTCTCATGGTGGTTTACACAGCAACCTCTTAACACATGTGAATCACCTACATACGCACTCAAATACATATGCATTCATCTCCATGGGTGACAAAGACTGTATGCCTGAGGACCTGGACTTTAAAGTTGGAAGGAAATTTGAAAGCCACAGCTTCATTTGATTGGGAGTATTTTCTGAAATTGGTGCGTGGTAGAAAAGACGCAGAAGCCACATCTGGACCAACTAAGAAAATTCTCACTTAGCGAGATCAGAAGATGCTGGGTGTTTGTTTCACAGTGCATTTGCCCTGACATAAAGTGTTTGCTCTGACGATAATGCCAGGCCTCCACTAACTCATGAAGGAAGTGCTGGGGTACAGAGAGGTCTTTCCAACTCTCCTAAAACCAGGCAACAGAAGCAGCTGCTTGCTTCATCCATATGCAAAGACATTACTTTAGCTGACAGAATAAGGACTGTTTGTTTTTATCTGTGGATATCTAATTGGAAATGTTCAGGCATGATCACTATTTTCCTACAGAATGATCATGTGGAGGAAATAGAGTGTGGAGAGCTGAGTGCATGTGGCTCCCCACACCTTGCCTCAACTCGGGCACAGACTGTACTGGTCCATATGCTTTCTACCAGGGGACACTTCCACAGCTAGAAAAAGAAAGAAGTTGGGGAAATGTAAGGGCTCAGGAGGCCCACGTTAACTCTCTTTGAGAAGAATGAAATCTATCCAGGATAAGTTCCTGGGTCTGAGGTGGTGTGCAAAGTGAATTTAAGCTTAGATTGTTGTTTTTAGATTTCACATGGATGCCCTTAAACTTCAGAGGAAGGAAGTAGAGGTGTGGGCTGAGCCCCAAGCCAGCTTGCAACCAGGATTAGTGGGAGTGAGACACAAGATTACAGGCTGACCGCATGAGGCCCTAGACTTAAAAGGCCATGAAGCAAGGAAGTCTCCATCTCCTGCCCTCCTCTGTGAGGCTCACGGCTGCCTGTTTCCACTCAGGCACCAAGTCCAGTTGCTTGAACATAAATCCTTTCTGCTCACGTCTGTGGCTGGTGCCAGAGAGCATTCCCACCTCGAGCTGGAAGACGAAGCTTATCCACAGGTGCCATGCCTTACCCATCACAGGAATCAGATGAGCTGGTTTTCTTTGTTAATGGGAGGAAGGTAAGTGTGGGGTGTTCCTACTGTGACTTGAAGAGACAGCAGGAAGCCCCTGGCTTGAAGGGAGCTCTTATGGATCTTGCCATTTCTCCTCCAGAGACCCTCAGCCTTCCTATTCCACAAACCCAACTGGAGTTTGGTCATACCCATCCCCCACTTCAGGACTTGGCCCAGGAAGGCAGATTGAACATAGAGCCTGTAAGGTCTCTTCATTTGTTTACTGTATCCAGTCTCCCCAGCCAACTACCACCATGTTCTTTCAAAAGCATCATTCATGAGCTGAGACCCTACTTTGCTTGTTCCACTGGCCTAGGCTTTGGAGACTCAAAAGCCAGAAGAGGCTCCTTACTCTACTTTTGGTTCCATGTCCTTTCTGAGTCATTAGTCCCAGAGTCACAGGGCTGCTGTCAAAACAGAGTGTAAGTCAAGGGTTAGAGGAAATATAAGTCTGCATGGTGTCAGTTCATTAGACGATAACAAATATGTCTTTTTTTCATTGATGAGATGACCCTTAGAGAACCAGAAAGCAGCTGAATTTTAATAACTTAGAAGCATCTTCCTACAGTTCTTTATTCCTTGAGATTATAAAAGTATATGTCTTTCTGGGGAGAAAGGAAGAAGCTAACATTGATGGCTGACTGGATCTTCTTTTCCTCTAATGCAACAGAATGGCTAGAGGTGCTTGCAGGACGCCCCAAGAGAAAGGCAAAGGGAATACGCCAAAATATATAAATGGGAAAGAGGTAGCAAAGAAGGTTCCCTCGTGACTTTTGAGTGTGAGCTCTCCCACATTCCAAGGGGAGGGATGGAGGAATTCATGTCCCACCAGAGTCACCCTAGGTCCTGAGCAGGGGCATTAAGGTTCACCATCTAGGGGACTGGCAGGCTCCAGAGCCCCTCAGGATGATAATTCTCCCCACTCCCTTTTCTGCTACAAACTCCGAGACCCTGATGTCATCAAATATTTTTCCCACCAGATGTCTCAGAGGTGCCAGGAATTCTTTTCACCTAGACTTCTCCCCTAAAAAGATCCTTTAATCCCCAAAGGATTGCACACACAATCCAAGTCCTTCCCAGATTTTAAGTATTTCAAGAGTACAAAAGACTGAGTTGGAAGGGGCCACAAGAGTGGATGTGAGGCAAAGGTGAAGAATACAAGTCCAAAGACATCTTTATATAACAGTAGTCCCAGCTCTTGTCACACAGAAGAGCAGCATTGCGACGCTTGATTCCTGTCCTATAAATGTGCATGCAAGCCATTTGCCCTCCGAGCACCAAAGAGCAGGTACAGATGAAACCAGATCTGATATTATCCCCAATCCCTAAGTCAAACAGATCAAACAGGCCACAACAGATATTCCACTGGGTCACTGCCTCAATCCCATGACAATCTCTCCTCTTTCCAATGCAGGTGACAGAGAGGAATGTGGACCCAGAAGTGACTCTGCTGGCCTTTCTACGAAAGAATTGAACCCTTTTTTCAAAAAATCAAAGTCCTAGCCATGTCTGTGCTTGCCTTAAAGTTCTTAAAATTATAAGAACTGATCACTCTCCACCCAAACAGGCAGTCCCATGGCCCTTGCTGTTTGCTTTTGGTGGTGGTTTTAAGAACATCGGGTTCATTGGATTAGTTTGCAGAGGAGGAAGTTTTCCCAGAGTTGCCTTTATCTGATTTAATAGCATGAAATAGAAACTAAGCTCTTTGCTTCAGCACCAAGTGTTCCCTGGAGGGCTCTGCTGCTCTCACCTGCGTGTTATGTAACAGAAGCTTTTGTTGCCTGTGCCCTGCCCGTTTGTGAAACCAGATCCTCCAGGTTCTGTGAAAGCATGAGTCAGTGGGAAAGCTTCTGTTTCCCTACATCTGTTTTCTCACACCAGATTCCTCACCACTACCACCATTTTACATTCTGGTATATAGGTTGTCATAACAGCAAACACTTTTTTATTTAATTAGCAAATCTGATGGCTCTTTCAGAGAAGCCAAAATAAATAAATAAATAAATGGCAGAAACTACAAATTGATGAAATTGTCTTCTGGACAAGTTTTGTTTAAAAGCCTAAATGATTTCTAATTAGCTGTCAATATATGAAAATTAGGAAATTTTATGTTTAAAAAAAAATCAAGAGGGAACAGCAAAAAAAAAAAATCAACATTTTTTTTAGCTTCTCATAACAAATGGGAAGGCAGCCAGTTCTACATGATAGCAGTCTTGCATAGAGAGCTGAATGGGGACTGTCCCTGGTCCCATCTCTAAGATGAGGCCCAGGCTCTCAGTTTCACCCTGCCTACCGTTCATTTACATGACCTTTCTGATAAGCATTTGAGGCTATGGCTTAGTTCAGATGAATGAGCCCTATCATTAGAACAAAACTAAAGAGTCAGTGATTCCTAAGTCATTGTAGGCAATCTAGTTAACTCAATCCAATCTCATAAATTGTGTGGAAACAGACCAGAGTGAGGGAGAATGATGAAAAAAGAGAAGGCACTGATCCTGAGTCTAGATTTGGGGTTGGACCTAGACCAATCAGAGCAGAGAGATGCTCAGGTGGGATCTGAAAATAAGAACAAGGGATTCCTCCAAAGACTCACCATCTTGCCTTCAAATGCAATACAAGCCAGCGGAGGGCTCTGCTTCTTTGCCTGGCTTATTACTGGGCAAAACTCATTATACATTGAGTTCCTAAAAATATAGTCCTTCTCTTCCAATTACATGATTGGAACCCAGAGGAGGACATATGAGTACCCTATAACGAAATAAGATTTACACAAGTCTTATAATAAGCCTGTGATGATAAAGTGGGTTTTACTCCTCCCTCTTTGCAGATGAGAAAACAGGCAGGGAGAAAGTAACATACAAGAAGGTTCTGCAGCTAATAAGAGATGGAGTGGCCTTTATTAAGATCTGGTCTGACTTCTCAGACCTGTATCTCGCCCTACAAAGAAGACCTTCCTCACTAGTGACACCCCAGGGAAGCTGCTATACTGGAAATAAAATATCCACCTTGCATCTTTTCCTTGACCACTCCTTCCAGTATGCCTCACAGGAACCAAGTATGCCTGCGGAAGAGGAGGCTGTGGTGCCTGCACTGTGATGGTGTCTAAATATGACCCAGCATCCAAAAAGATAAGGTAGCCCACTCAGAGGCCCAGTAGCCAGGGGAGGGCTCTGCTTCTTTGCTTGGCCTGTATTCTCATCTCACAACTGAGACAGACTTTTTGATTCTTGCTATTTCTGGATCTTAGACCCCTCTGAAAAATCCCATGTATACTGTGAGTCCTCTACTCAGATAATGCATATAATATATGTTATATTTAATTTTATATATAATTTCAGAGAGACTGTGAAACTCTCAAGGTGCACTTGTGAACCTCAGATTAGGAAACCTCAATTTAGGCCAAGAATTTATTTTACCAATGAGGAAATTAAGGCTCAAAAACATGAAGTGACTTGCTCAAGGTCATATAACTAGTAACCTGTAGAATAAGGACTTGAACCCATGTTTTCTGACCCTGCAAGTAATGTTCTTTCTACTCTTAGACTTGTCCAACTTTGTGGAGCAAGAACTTGGGTCACCCTTTAATTAAGGGCCAAATTCTAGAATTTGGGCTTCATCCAAATCCATTGACCCAAATCAGGACATGGCTTTAGAACACAGATCATCTCATACTGTTGAGTGACCTTGCCCAAAGAGTTCAAATTAATAAGCAAAAGAATTCCCAAATGTGTAGACAGAGGTAAAAGACTTGGGTATAGTTTTTGGTTGCTATGAGGTCAATGTCCCACTACTAGTGGGACACAATTCATTCCCATTGCTTCCAGGTGGGCTTTGGAACTTCTCTGAAGTTCAGGATACCCATACTCACCTTAAGGATCCCCAGTTCCTGAAGAGAGCACAGACTCAGCAGATGCTGACTTGCTCCTCCTTGTTACTCTTCCAGTCCTCAGCCCCTAGGCTGAGCAATAGGCTTTGGGGTTTTCTGCTGCCCTTCTTGGTTCCAGGTTTACCTAGGAGGCAGGACCGTATTACTCCCCTTGATCTTCTTTATGTTTCTCATGCAAAGACACTTCTCCGTCACTGCATGCCTGGTGCCCATCTGCTCTCTGTATGGAGCCGCTGTCACCACTGTGGAAGGTGTTGGGAGCATCAAAACCAGGCTTCACCCCGTGCAGGTAACAGCATATCCTAATTTTTTTGCCTCTAAATGATCATTTTAGCAAATACTGGGTTGTCTGTACTGCCTGAGCTGTCCACATTATGGCCAGGTAAGTGGAAGCTCTGAATGCACATTGATCATGGTAGTAACATCTGTTCAGTGATTTAAAAGACAGCTGGAAATCCATCAACATTTTATTAGATGGTCATCTTTTTTGTTACTTTTTCTACTTGAATGATATCAGGATTATAAAAACATTGACAAATGCCTATTGGACTATTGATCTAGAATAGATACTGTATACAAGGTGTTGCACACAGAATTCAAGATTATCCCCTACAGCATGGAGGTATTGGGAGTAAAATCAGATTTAGGGAGAGGTGGAAAGTAACTTCCCTAGAGAATAAGGACAACCACTTCTTCCATCCTTAACCTGAAGCTGGAGCAAAGAGTTTAGATTTAAGAATAATATGTGGCAGAGAACACAATTCCTCTGTCATTGTCATGTTAGTTTGGGGGAGTCACAAGACTAGATCAGCCAACACTAGTCCTTCTGGCTGGGAAGAGCCCGCAGTCTTCTGGGTTTAACCATGTGAGAATCAATTCCAAAGTGGTCAGCAAAGATGAAGGGTCCAGCAGAGTCTACTAGGAAGTCAGACAGGGTGATCCTGGCATTCTGTTACATCCTAAAATCTACAGTAGAGCATCCCAAGCTTTAATGTTCCCAAGACTCACCAGAAGTTTGTTAAAAATGTGGATTCTGTGTCAGGAGGCTTGGAGTAGGGGCCCCAGGTCCTACACTTCCTACCAGCTACTAAATGAAACCAATACTACTAAACCATGAACTATACTTTAAATATCTTAGGCCAAAATCTTAAACCTTTGAAACTAGAGCTACCTTTGAGCCAACACAGAAAATATAAAGAAGAAAGAGGGGCTAAGTATGGTGGTACACATCTGTAATCCCAGAATTTATGCTGCTGTAGGAGGATTGCTAATTCAAACCAGCCCTGGGCTACATAGCCAGACTCTATCTCAGAAAAAGAAGAGGAGGGGTGGGGAGGGATTAAAGGGAGGGAAAAGAAGAAGAAGGGGAGGAGGAAGAAGAAGAGAAGTATAAGAAAGAAGAAGGAGGGGGAGGAAGAGGAAGAGGGAGGAGGGAAGACAGAGGAGGGAGGAGAGAGGAAGCAGGAGAAGAAGGTCTCCAACTCAATCAAAGAAAGACAGACCCCAGTCAGTACTGAGGTACATAAGATGTGTAGATATTCAAGGAGACTTTTTAAAATTTATACTCTCTTAAACGTATTGATTCCTGGAGAATTCTTGGTAGGGGTGCAGGCTGCAGCCTGCTAGTTCCTCATTAGAAGGGTTTGAGCATTTGACCTTGAGAAGTGATTATAATGATAGGTAGATAATCACTACCTCTGGAAAAGGGTGCAAAGACTGATTGACAGGATGAGAGGATGGGGCACATTTGCTCAGAGAGTGGGTTCCACCACAGCAAGAGAGATGCAGGTTGTGGACCCTGGTGAGAACTATGGCACAGGAAGACAGGGCTGTGACCATGCATGTGTGCTTCCAGGAGAGAATTGCCAAGAGCCATGGCACCCAGTGTGGATTCTGCACCCCTGGGATGGTGATGTCCATGTATGCACTACTCAGGAACCACCCACAGCCCTCGGAGGAGCAGCTCATGGAAGCCCTGGGAGGTAGGCCAGACACCCAAGATTAGGTGGGAAGTGGGATTCTGGCTGCTTCACACTACCCTCAGCATCATTCCAGCCTTGTTCAGGTGCCCACTTCAGTTGTTTCTAATGTAGCTACAATTCACCCAGGAGCAGAGAAGGATGCCAAGCCATCCTCTGCTTATCAGAGCACATCCATGGAACAATCTGCACAGAACCAGCATCCAGTTCATGGACCACAACCCTTCTCTATCCAGCCATTCAGCTTCCCAAAACTGGCTGGCTTAATTCATTCTCTCACAGTTCTAGAGGTCTTGAGTCTGAAATTGAGGTGTCGACAGGCAGTGCTCTATCTGAAGGCTCTAAGGAGGGTCCTTCCTTGGCTCCTCCTAGCTTCTGATGATAGACAGTCATTCCTTGCCATTTGTTTTTCTTTTCGTTCCTTTTTTTCTCTTTGATGATATTGGAGTTTGAACTCAGGAATCCATGCTTGCTAGACAGGCACTCTACCATTTGAACCATGCCTACAGCCCTTCTTGCTCTGGTTATTTTGAAGATAAGTCTTGCTTTTTGTCCAGGCCAGCTTAGACCAAGATTCTCCTCTTTTACACTTTCCACCCTAGCTGGAATGACAGTCAAGTTCCACCACACACAGCTTTTTTTCCATTGACATGGAGTCTCACACCTGGAGCTGGCCTTGACCCACAATCCTCCCAATCTCAGCCTCCCAAGTAGCTAGAATAACAGGCATGAGCCACCAGTATCCAGGTAGCATTTTTCAATTTGTAGCTGCATCACTTCAATCTGTGCCTCTATCTTCACATCCTTCTCCCTGTATATCTATGTCCAAATCTCTCTTTCTTGTTAGGACACCCATCATTGGATTAAGGCCCATCCTAATGAGGACGATGTCATCTGAACTTAATTACACGGGCAGGGATTTTAGTTCCAAATATGGTTATGGAAAAAAAAAAACAAATATGGTTATGTTCACAGATCCCAAGGGTTAGGACTTAAACTATCCTTGGGCGGGGTGGGGCAACGCAATTCAATCCATAACAAGACTCTTCATATAATGAAAGAATCTTTTAAAATTTGCAACAGTTCGGATTACTAAGCAGGAGGAGTTCATAAACCTATCCCTTTAATAGAATCAGTAAAAAGCATCTTTAAGCATCAATAATTCCTAAACAACTTATCAATTCTTAGAATTCTTGTCTTGAGGACTGACAGACCAACACCAGCTACTGCTAGATTTTCTCTCTCTCTCTCTCTCTCTCTCTCTCTCTCTCTCTCTCTCTCCTCTCCCCTCCCTTCCTCCCTCCCTCCTGGCCTCCCTCTCCCAATGCAGAAACTCAGACTAACTCTTCTAAATTCTCCACCTTCTGGCCAAGTATAATGGCTCACGTCTGTAATCCCAGGTACTCGAGAGGCAGAGGTCAGTAGAATCATGGTTCAAGGCTATCCCAGGCAAAAAAAAGTTAGTGAGACCCCCCCATCTCAATAAATAAGCTGGGCATGGTAGCATGCACCTGTAACCCCAGCTGCACAGGAGGCGTAGATAGGAGGAGCACAGTCCCAGCCAACCTGAGCAAAAAGAAAGACCCTATCTGAAAAATAACCTAAAGCAAAATGTCTGGGTTCGTGGCTCAAATGGTGGAGTGCTTGCCTAACAAGGCCCTGAGTTCAAGCCCTAGTACCACCAAAAAAATAATAATTAAAAATAAAATCCCCACCTTCCCTGGGTCCCTCTCCTATCGAGTCCTTCAGCAGCCCCTCAGCACTATTTTGTACCCAGGTTCAACCTCCTTCAGACAGTCTAGGAACTGGCCTCACTAACTCATGCTTCCTCCCCTCTTCTTGACTCCCTGCAGGCCTGGGTCCTCTGCCCTCTTCAGGTTTCCTCCTCTGCCCCTGGCTCATGCTGGTCTGAGAGCTCTGTCACTCCCCACCATCCTGTATGGTGCTCACCCCTCCAGTTCAGGCTGCTAAGCCAATCTTCTCAGACAAACTCTCATCTACACAGATCCTCCCCACCCCACCCCAGGCCTCAGCAACCTGGGGCCTTCAAGCTTTACTCTGCAATAGAAAGACTTGCAGAGCTCCTAAATGCAGATTCCTGGGCCCAGCTCCAAACATCTGGCTCCAGAAAAGTGGAGCAGAGTCAGGATGCTGCATTTTTAACAAATGGCTCATGTCGTTCTGATGCAATAACCTAAAGGCTGCTGAGGAACACCCCTGAAAACCACCCAAGGCATGGTGCTTCACTCGTCTACTGCCTTGGGAATTGTCTGTATTTTCTGTCTTACATAGTCAGAAATACACTTGTTGTCAATAGGCACAGATGGGAGTAGGATATAGCTCAGTAGTAGAGTGTTTTCCTCACCAGCGTTCTATTGCAAGCACTGTGAAGGAATGAAGGAACAAAGGAACGAAGGAACAAAAGAATAGAGGAGAAATAGAAAACATTAAACAACAGTTTGGCAGCTATAAAAGTCCTCTTTTTAGGGGGGATAAAGGAGAATGATGGAGGGAGTGAATTTAACTAAGCTGTATTGTAAACACTTTTAAAAGAAGCCGATAGAAACAAAGACAAATGACAACCCTGCTTCTCCTCTGATCAGGTAATCTATGCCGTTGCACTGGGTATCGACCAATTCTCCAGAGTGGAATGACCTTCTGCATGGTGAGTAGTGACTGTGGGGACACCCTACAGAGTAAGAATGGCAGGGACAGCTGGGCAAAGCTGGGAATGCAGAAATTGAGGGGACTTTTTAGACTACCACAACAGATAAAGTGAGTTGACTCCAACTGACTCATTGGAGTTTGACTTGTTCCGTAAGGATCGGGTGTTACCCAAAAGCACAGAGAGAAGTCAGGTGATCTAACCAGCGCCCAGACATTTTCCCTCAGTTAAGCAAGGCCCTAACAGGACAGGTAAGAGGTTCCCAGCAAACCCAAACCCAAGGAGACAAGCAAGGGGATAGAGATTGCTTTGGTGAGGCAAGGTTCCTTCCAAAATTCTAACCAGCTGGGATGGTGTCAGCAAAGAAGTGTGGAATCCAAAATCCACTTCCTGAATACAGGAGTTTTCTTCTACAAAATGGGGGTGATCCACTGGGCTACTCTGAAAATCAAGTGAGTCTTGTTTGGCACTTAGTAAGACCTCTACAAATAGTCGCTACCATTATTGAGAGTGTTGTTGACGCTATGAATAGCATTTGACAGGCACATCTGAGGGCCCTCTGCTGAGGGAAAGATGGATGTGAACAGCACATCCTTGTACCCAAACAGTGGGGACTGCACACTGTAGGGGGCCCTCTCTGGGCTTTCTCCAGCTATTCTCAGGAGTCCCTGGGGCCAAGGTGATGTGCTCACCTGGAGCCTTTACTCCTTTTCTAGATCATTCTCCTTACATAGTCTTGACTTCACTCAGGCCAGACACAAGCCACTTTCCTGAGCCATCCAAGGACAGATCCTAACATCCAGGGCTTGCAGCCTGCACCCAAGGTCAAGGGGGTGGCCAAGAAGCAGCTGTTTGTGGAGTGGGTGGACAGAGTTTGGACACTCAGGCTGGGTATTCACCAGTGTTTGAGGCCAGAGTATGGGACAGAGCCATGGGGGAAGAGAAGGGCAGCAGGCCACAGCCTTGGGGCCTCTGTTTATATTCTTACCTCAGCTCCACAAACAGTAGAGGTGGGCCTGGAAGTGAACCAACAGGTGTACCCCACACCCCAAAGCCATGCAAGTGTCCTGTACATGTATGTTACAGGCTTCTACTGCCACATGGGGGAGCCAAAGTTGAGGACTTGTGAAATACAAATAAAGGAAATTAAAGGAAACTTCTTTCCCTATGGGTGTGGATGTTATCCACAGACTCTGGGGATAAAGGCAAAAATGTAGTCAGACTCCCCATCCTGCCACCAACAGGTCTTAAGGGACTTTAGTGGTTGAAAGCAATACAAGCTTGTATCTACTGTGCCAAAATAAATAAATAAATAAATACTGGCTCTTCTTCCATTGTCATTGTGTCACAGTCCATCAAGGGAGCCCTCAGACCTTTGAGTAAGAGGGGAAGCACTGCTTGCTTGACCCAGGTGTGTTTACTTCTTCGGCACAACTGGGAGGATGACAACTTGAGACACTTGGGCAAACAGTGAACTGAAGTGTCTGGGAGAAAGTATTTTGCTAGCCACTTAGGAAAAAATATCAGAAGAAGATACAGGAGTAAAGTTTGAGAGAAATGGAAATGAAAGAGCTGCTTTAAATTTCCTCGACAATTCACTCCCAGCCATCTCTAGACAGATTCCAAATGTCTGGGAGATCTCACTACCAGAGTGATTTTCTTTTATCTCTTTTTTCTTTTGCTTCAGGATTTTACATGAATTATAAAGAACAATGTTTTGAATCTTCTGTATGCTAGAGAGTAGATAAATTACTGTTCTAAAAACATCCTAAAAATTAATTTTACCATTAGGAGTTAGCCTCAAAAAATTCATAGATGCACTCAAAGCTGTACTTGCAATGAACAAAAAAATACTCATATACTGAATTCTATATAAATATGTACTATATAAACATAATACAATCCCAAATAGTATATCATGTCACAATATCAACAGTGGAATAGGGCAATATAGTTTACCTCTTTTATACTTCCATATAGTCTATGTTATTTTTATCATTTATTTCATATTTTGTGTCTACTATATATATTCTGTGTATAACATTTTGTTAAAAAATAAAGCAAAAGAAGAAAGTTCTTGTGTCCCAATTGAAACTACCAAAAGTGGCTTTGAAAGTCTGAGTCTCACATAAATTGCCAAACCCTTCTGGGCATATACACATTTACCTATAAAAAAATGTTTAATGTAAGGCATTTCACCTTCTTAGGAGTCAGACGGCTGCCAGCAGAAAGGAGCAAGACAGTGCTGTTTGGATCCAACAGAAAATGATCCCTCCTGTCTTGGCAGCAAAAGTGATGTGAGTTCCTTTGTTTGTTTTGTACTCTGTTAGTATTCCTTAATGCTGGCCCAGTTTTGAAACTGGGCTTGTGAGTTTTAAGTGTCATTCTCCACTCTACTTATGACTGTCCCAAAAGCATGCACAAATAAGCAGTTTTTCATTTAGGAGTTGGGTACAGCAGTGACACAAAGGCCAAAGTCTGATTTTCCTCTTCCTGGTCCAGAAGGCTAGAACAAAAGGAAAACAAAAGCCACTGTAGATCAGTCACATCCTCAGGTGGAAATGGATTTCCAAAGCTGCCCCTGCTCACACAGAGCCATCCTCTGTCACTGTGCTTCCTCTTTTGTAGAAATAGCGCATTCCCCAAACCTAGGAAGTCCAGCCTGAAGCATTCCAGCCTCTGGCATTGCTCTCTGAGAGATATTTATTCCCACTGCTAAGTTCTTAAGGAAATTACATAGAGAAGTTAACGTGCAGGATAACAAGAGGGCTGGCTTCCTGTATAAGGAAACAAACAGCCCAGAGCAGGCCTTAGACAAAAGTGTGTCCATTATCCCCTCCTCTATCCATTTCTCTCCTTCAGACCTAGTTTCTTCCCATTCTTGCCTCCCAATCACAGCTCATTTTAGTCTAAAGAAAGAGGGTGGTGGAACAAAGGGGTGGTTCCCTTAGGAGGTGGGCTGTATCCCCCATGACCACTTCACAGAGCATCAGTGCCTGGTAGGGTTCATACATTCTAAAGTCAATATTCAATTTTAGTCTTGGGAATTCACTTTGGGGACTGGTTGGGCTATAGGGACCACTTGATTTACATTAGTCAAATGAGAAAGGACATGATATCAAAACCAGAACGTACCGTGTTATAAAGTGGAATTTGTGTCAATGAGCCACACATCCTTTCCCTACAGAAACACATGCATAGGACACTAAATTCTCAATTCAGTGAGGACACAGAGTAGTAGCACCATCTTAATCAGAGTGGCCCAGGTGTCTGCCCTGCTACTCTGCCTTCTCCTGAAGCTGTTATCATCCTCCATTTGGGTAATCATTAACTCTTGGCCTAGAACCTATGAGGAGAACTTTTTATTTCTCAGCTTTGGCTCATTGTGTTTTACTTCTCAGACACAATCTTACTTCTGGGTTTTAGAGATACACTACTTTATCACACCCAAGTACTTACTGCCTAGACTTCTACGTGTAACACAAAAACTGATCACTTGGATGCTGGCCCAGCGTGCCTCAATCTGTAGGCCCATGAAGAACTTTTGCAAGGAACGATTACAAGTTCCTTTTTTTTTGGAAGTTTCCTTCCAGAAACTGGGAAAGCCTCAGAGAGATAGAAAAGGGGTAGGGAGGGTAGGACAAATGTCAGGCCATTTCATCTAATTATTACAATTACCCTTCAAAATAAGCATTATTTCCATTTAACCTTTAGAAAGGTTAAGTACCTTTCCAGTGGAAAGGTCAGAGAGATGAGCTGAGAGTGAACCAGACCTGCCTACCTCTGATTCCTGTGGATCCTCTCCTCCATGGCACCTGCCTCCACCCCACTTCCCACCATCCTCTCCCCATTTTCCCTACCTCTTCAGGAATGTTTCCTAGCAACAGTGTCTTCCAAAACTAAAGCAGATCTGAGTCAGGCAAGTGAAGGTAAATTTCACTGTGCTTAATTTTCTGATGTACAAAAAGGATAATAATTTAATTTCCTTATATAATTATCATAAAGATTAGGTAAATTATTACTGCATGTCAAAGCACTCGATAAGCGCTATTATTATGATTTGGAGTTTGTGTGTGTATTTATGCATGGGCTTATATGTTTAGAGTCATTTTTACTTAAACTACAGAACTTCTCAGAACCTTAGCAATTTGAATCTCAGGATTCAAGTTGAGGATAGCAGTTGGGGCATAGAGGAGAGGATTTCTTAAACTTCTTTAAAGTCTATTCATTTTTCATAGAATGTCCTGGCATTTCCCAGAATACTCTTTGGAATATTTCATAGGACGCTTTCCTTTAGCATCATGTTTGTGGCAAATTAATCTCTTCCTTACAATAAGATTCTTGTTTTAAGTTATTTGACTTGAACTAGGAGAACTAGGAGAGCCAGTACTATACTGTTTCCAGCTGAGCTGGCCTGACAAGACCATCTGCTTCTTCCTTCTATAAAGATTTGCACAGGGTTATTTGCGAGAGAGGAGTTCCAGCCCTTGGACCCGACCCAGGAGCTCATATTTCCCCCAGAACTCTTGGTAAGATGGTTTGGGTTACGTGCTTGTTTAAATATCATTGGTTGTAAACCCAGTTTTCTAAATCCACCCACTTCCTTCCTGGGACATGTTGAATTGGGGAAATATTTGCTAAGATCAAGATGCCTGCCTCCTCCCAGCTCACCAAGCCTTGGCTGATCCCTGGGACACATGCCCTAAGCCACAGCTGGGTTGTTTTTTTTAAATGATTTTACCTTTACTGTCATCATTATCATCTGGAATATGTCCCTATCAAATGTCTGGGCAATTCAATTTTGCTAACCACCTACTAGGTCTTTTCAGCAACTCCAGTGCATTGACCCCAAGGAACATTCCAGAAGCACCCTGACTCCTCACCCTTTCTCCTATCAGCATCTCCATCCCCCTTCTGACATCCAGTATCCCATTGTATGAAGTACCTTTTTCAAGGGGGTTCTGATGTGTTTATTCGTTAATTCAAAAATATGTATTCATTCAACAATATGCCAGCAGTGTTCAAGGCACTGGATCTACAAAAGGGAACAAAACTAACAAAAAGTCATGCCCTACAGGAGTTTGTAGCCCAGTAAGAAAGATTGCTAATAAGCAAAATAATAGATAAAAGATCATGTGTAATAAACTTATGCCATTTGCTGGAAAAAAAAAGATATCATCTGTTAGCAAGTGAGAGTAGTAAGGAGAACACAAATAAAGCAGAGCGTGAGGACGAGATGCAGGTGGTTACAATTTTAAATATCCTAGCCAGAGAAGACTTTTTTGAGAAGGAAACACATGAGGAAAGTCTGGAAGGAAGAAAGGGAGCCAGTCACAAAGATATGTGGAGAAGAGTAATCCAGGAAGAGGGAACAGCAAGCACACAGGTCCTAAGGGCAAGAGAACACTGGCCTGATCAGGGGACAGAGTGGAAACCAGCCTGGCTGAAGCAGAGTGAGCACAAAGGTCAGACGCCTTCAGGGCAGATTTGTTGGACTTAGTGCTGCTTTACTTTTACTCTGCACGAGAAGAGAAGCTATTAGGGAGACTGGGCAGATTGCTGATGTCATAATGGGACCATTTCCATTGCTGGGCTGAGAATGGTTGCAGAGGGACAAGGGAAGGAAATGTAGCCCCATCAAGGGACTAATGCCACCCTGAGGGTGGTGGCTAGACCAGGCTGCTGGTGGAGGTGGTGATGAGCAAGTGGATTCTGGGTATATTTTGGAAGAAAAGCCAACCAGCTTACTGATGAGTACGATGTGGTTGTGGAAGAGAGAGAGGGGAGTTAAGGCTGACCCTGGAGCTCTGGGCAACTGGAAGGGAACAGTTGCTATTGAAAGAGATCAGGGAGAACTCCAGAGGAGCGGGTCATTTTTCCTTTTGGAAGTTCCTCTTCAGGGCCTTAGAAAAGGGCTGGCTATGGGGAGCTCAGTTTAGGAAGATTGAAACTTGAGATGCTTATTTCACATCTACGAGGGGACATTAAGTCGGTAAATACTCATTCAAATATAACTTGGCTTTCAGAGGAAAAGTCCAGGCTGAAGATATTAATTTAGGATCATTAGGATAATTGTGATTTTAAGGTCATGAAACTAAATTAACCATCCTGAATGGTCCAATGACAGGTGTCAGTTAATAATTGTCACTTGTCCCCAAAAGGTCATCTGATTACAGGAATTCAGGTATTAGCCAACAGATGTAGTATCTTCCTGGGCAAGTGGACCTTCAGAACCCCTAAAATCTTTCTAGAGGAACATAGCTCACCCTGGGACCTGTATGACTCAGGAGGACTGCTGTGCACACAACTGGACGTACTTGTTACTTGCCCTTAGAGAATGGCTGAGAGCTCAGAAAAACGAACTCTGACCTTTTATGGAGAAAGAGTTACATGGATCTCCCCTGGGACCCTCCAGGATCTCTTAGAGCTGAAAGCAAAGCATCCTGCAGCTCCTCTTATCCTGGGCAACACCTCACTTGGTGAGTGATTCTAATGGTTCAAATTCCACTGTTAATGCCAGGTTGTTCTTGCTCTACCTTTTAGGAATGAAAGACTTCACCCTATGTAATAAAGCCAGTGGTGTCCAAAGTTAGATGAACATATACCTTAGCAGTATGCAGGGTAACCCTTTGAGATGTGGGTAAAAGTAAGAGAGGGTTTTTTTAAAAAATCATTTAATTCATCTTGCCCCTTTTCACTTTGTTTTGTTAAATACTGAGTAGACATATGAAATTTTATTAAAGTATCTATGGATATATTAACAATGCAAAGTATACCCAGTGACAACCCACACCCATTTTAAAGACTTGAACTTTGCTGGCAGAGTGGTTCAAGTGGTAGAGTGCCTGCCTACCAAGCACTAAACTAAGCAGTAAATTCAAACCCCAGTACTGCCAAAAAAATTAAAAGTCTCAAAAATTCACTCAAAAAAAAAAAGTTTTAAGCTGGGCACCGGTGGCTCACACCTGAATCCTAGCTACTCAGGAAGCAGAGATCACAAAGATCGTGGTTCAAAGCCAGCCCAGACAAATAATTCCCAAGACCCTATCTCAAAAAAACCTATCACAAAAAAAGGCTGGTGGAGTGGCTCAAGGTGAAGGTCCTGAGTTCAAACCCCAGCACTGCAAGAAAAAAAGAACATGAACTTTCCCAAGCATTTTGAAGGCCCCCATAGACCCTCCCAAACTACTTTCCCTTTCTTCCCTTCCTCTCTTGAAGGCAGATCTTTGGCTGATTTTGTCATTCAGTCTCTTCCTTGTTTTTATAATTTTACCACATATATTTGAATCCCTAAACAACATGTCATTTCATTTTGCACATTTTTAAACTTCACATAAATAGACTGATACTGTTACTCTTCTGCAATTTTCTTTGTTCATTCAACATTCTTGACCTTAGGTTCACCTTTATCAATGCATGTAGCTGTGTTTTATTCCACTGTATGAACATGAAACAATTTGCCCTCCCTTTTATTATGGAAGGTCAGCTGTTTCCAACTATGGGCTATTGAAAATATTATTTCATATCCTTTTTTTGGGGGGGTTGTTTGTTTTTGCAGTCCTAGGGATCAAACCTAGGGCCTTGTTCATACTAGACAAGCTCTCTACCACTGAGCTACATACCCAGTCCACAAATATCCTTGTACCTCTGTGCAAGACCTTTTTAAAAGTCTTCCTCCCTTTCATTTCCTATTTTTATATAATTGTAGTAAATAAATGAGTACATACATTAGGGCGCATGCTGTATAAATTTACCTGGCAGGGTATATGGTCATTGTTTTCATTTCTATACATGCTTTTTGCCAATGCTTAAAATTTGTATCTGAATATTTTTATGAGAAAATTTCGATGCAAAAGAAAAGAGGCTTCCTCTTTCCTGTCTCTAAAACTACATTTACTCCTCAGGTCCTGCAATGAAATCTCGAGGACACTTTTACCCAATTCTCCTCTCTCCTGCTAGGATCTCTGAGCTGAGAATGGTGACTAAAACAAGTGATGGTAAGCTCCTGGTGTTTTAGTAAGAAATTAATAAAGTGATTCCTGAACTAAATTTATACTTACCAAATAAGTCAGAACCTCCTTGTCCATTTATCTTGTGTGGCCAACTCTTCATCATTTTTCTAAGGTGAGAGTGGGTTCCCATGGTGAAACTTCACCATCAAAAGCCTTTCTGGGGAAAGTGGAGGAAAAAGGAGGATTAAGAAACAGTGATATAGTCAGAGTGAATGTGATCAAAGTACATTATATAAGAATCACAATGAAACCCCCTTGTATAATTAATGTATGCTAATTAAAAATTTAAATTTGGGGGGGGGGGAATATGAACTATCCAAATGATATCATTCAAGACCTTGCACTGACTTGCAGGATTCTTGCCTATAAAATACCAGGATGTCCCAGAGACAAAGTATTTGCACTGTCACTTTGAAAAGAGGATACAAGAGAGAACAGGCGGAAGGGCGTTTCAGAGGAAAAGTAGGAGAAGCATTGTCCTGCATTCAGATGCTACTTGTCTTGTGGTAACAATGACAAGAGGTTAAAAATCTACACGCAAGCACCCCCAGTTGCTTACAGCACTCTTAAGAACCCATTAGTGTAGAATATATCAGGTGAGACAGAACTCAAAAGTAGGAAGAAATACACAAGAATTCACATTCAAGATGCATGACAAACTCTTTAGCAAATGGACCTTATTCTTTTCCTTTCTTTGTCCCCAAGAGCTCGTGTGCATGCACATAAGTGCTCAGTCAATGGCTGATAAATGAATGCAGGGGAAAAAAACCAAATGAATGAGTACATCCAGACATGAATGTAATGGGATGCAAGGGTAATGATGATTTCCTTAACTTAGGCAGCAGGGTGATTGACAGAACTGAAAGCTTTAATCAAAAATGACTTATAGGAGACTGGTGGAGTGGCTCAAGTGGTACAGCATCTGCCTAGCAAGCGTGAGGCCCTGAGGCCCTGAGTTCAAACCCCAATACCACCAAAAAAAAAAAAAAAATCAAAAGAAGAGTTGTAGGTCACTGTGTGTTTATGGGGATCGGTGGTGGGCAGAGCAGGAGGAATCTACCACAACTCAATCACGGCTACCAGAAGTGCTATAGTCCTGGCCTCTAACCATAATCAGCCAAACTTAGATTGCATTACAGACCAGGGATGCTGCTCTTCCCTGGCCTGATGCCACCCATTAGCAAGGAAAGGGAGCCCTTCTTGGGTTTTACCCAGCTTCCATCTTGAAACAATTCAAATAGTGTACTGGTGTGAGCAGAAGGGTGAGGGGAGGAAGAAATCCCACCAGGCACAGTAGGCCACATCTGTAATCCCAGCACTCAGGAGGCTGAGCAGGAGGAGCTCAAAAAAAAAAAAAAATACAGCCCTATCTTCGAGACTTGAATAAAATAAGAAGAGGAAAGACTTTTTCCTATCCCTCCCTGTCTCAGAGCCCTCTGTGTCTGTCCCCAAGGGGCCCTTCAGAGCACTATTCAAAATCCTCAATACAACCCAAACTTTCATTTTCTAGATGAAGAAACTGAGATTTAAAAAAAAAAAAAATGGACTTGTCGAAGAACCCCAGACTGACTGGTGTTTGGGTTCTAATTCAGAACAATTACTGGCATTACTCCTCCCATCCTCTCCCCACAACTGATCCAATGGTTGTTTGCGTTAACTTCTCAGTTTGGTCCTCTTAGCCAATATAAGCAATGTGACCTACCTCTGGCCTCTTAAAATTAAAGCATGAGTGCCCTCTAGTGGCTGTCAAGAGCATTTCCATGCAAATCCTGTGGCCCAGAAGAATGAGAGGAGCACACTTCTGGGTGAGCTGGAGGCAGCTGTTCCTCCAACAGCACCCCTCAGGAAATAAATTTCTGTGACAGCAGTAATTTTGACTTAAATGCTTATATAAATTTTGCATGTTCATCCATATCACTCACAAATTTGGTGCAGTATACTTCTTTTCTTAAAATCTTCAGAATAAAGAGCTCCAGAGAGTTGATGTATATTTATTTGGGCCCATGAATGCCGGGAGACATTGAGTTAAAACACTTTCTGAGGATCAGAGTTGAAGCTCTTTCCAACTCCACTGACATGCAAGCTGGGTTCTGTGACCAGAGGTGGAGTAAACTATAAATAGAGCTTCAGTAAATAGAATAGCCTAGTACAAAGTGAAGTCGCGATGTAAACAATGGAAATGACCAAGCAAAAAATCCCAAATGAATTGTCTGGCCTCAACTTAAACTTGAAATCTTATGAGAACTGAGACAATAGAATAGACAGCTGACATTTCACTCCCTCCTAGAGTTCAACTGTCCTCTTCTACCTTTGTCCAAAGGAGAGCCTAGCAGGGTTGCTCACGCCTATAATCCCAGCTACACAGGAGGCATGGATAGAAAGATTACAGTCTGAGGCTGGCCCCAGGCAAAAGCACAAGACCCTATCTGAAAAATAACTAAAGTAAAAAAAATCTGGAGGCATGACTCAAGTGAAAGAGTGCTTGCCTGGCAAGCTCAGGCTCTGAGTTCAAATCCCAGTACAGCTTTAAAAAAAAAAAGAGGCAGTTATGCTGGACTGTGTGAAGCCTCTGACCTTAATAATAACACACATAAGATTTCCCTACTAATAAGGCCTGCCTAGGCTCCTGCAAAGAAAAGGCCAGAATTTTTGCAGAAGTTAAAGACCAGGCTCCAACAGAAACTGCAGTTATAAGGAAGCAATACACCATCTCTGCTGGGTTTGGTGTGGGAACAGAACCCATCTTCTACAAATGTGCCTTTCATGAGATGCTGAACAAGCACAAGGTAAGGACTCCAGGCTGAGACATTGGTGGTGAGGGGAACAGTTTAGTTACTTTTTGGCAATATTTGCTTAACGTATGGGTAGTAAGGAGCAGGTAGTCCTTTCTGAAACCTCTTCAGTTGGCTGAAGTTAGTGAAGAACTGGGGGTGCTGTGAACGTATGCTGGCAGAGAAGGGGAAAATATTGTACCAAGTATATTTTAATATTGAGAAAATACAGGTATGAGGAGGGTGAGATATCCTCAAAGATTAGTCAACCAGGGGGAAAAATCAAACCTGATTAAAAATAACAACTGCAATTATTACCCAACCCCACTAGTGCTATCAACTCAGACCCTGCATGGTAGTATCTCATCCTGCAAAATCCAGGGAAGTCAAGGATCAATTTTAAAAGACTGACTAAGTCACCTCCTGATGGTCTGGGTGACCACTTTTTTTTTTTTTTTTTTTTTTTGGTGGTACTGGGGTTTGAACTCAGGGCTTCGCTCTTGCTAGGCAGGTGTTCTACCACTTGAACCATGCTTCCAGACTCTGGTTACTTTAGAGATAGGGTCTCTTTTTTGCCCAGGGCAGTCTGGCCCGTGACCCTCCTATTTCAGTCTTCCTGCCATTGCTAGAATGACAGGCACACATCACCATGCCCAGCTTTTTTCCATTGAGATAGGGGTCTCATGAACTTTTTTGCCAAGGCTGGCCTGAACCCACAATCTTCCCAATCTCAACCTCCTACAGAGCTTGGGCTGACAGGTGCACAGCACCATGCTCAGCTGTTGGTTGAGATGGAGTCTTGAGAACTTTTTTGTCCCAGCTGATCTCAAATGGCAATTCTCCCCCACCTCCCACCACAGCCTCCCTAGTAGCTAGGATTATGTATGTAAATCACTGGCTCCTGGCCCACTTTACTTTTGAAGATTAATTTGAACCTTTCCATCCCTACTGAAAAGAAACTCTGAAGTTCTTGCTAATATTGTTTCAATCCTCACAAATTTGGCTAAAACATTTATCAAAATGTTGAATTACTTCCTGGCCAGTTAGCAAATATTATCCTGGTCCTTCTGAACATTCTCTCATTGCTCCCCTTATTCCCCTGCCCAAACCCCCAACTTCCCCACACCCGGCAACACCAACAGAATGCCCGAGGCAGCTGCTTGCTTGGGCTGTGTCCACTCTGACTGGCCAATGTCCCTCATAAGCTGCCATTGAAGATGATGAGCATCCACCCACCTGGAAGGGTGGTAAAACCTGCAGTCAGAGCGTTATTGATTTTTGACTATGACCCACGGAATGGAATGACTTTTGCCATTATGATGGCTAACGCCATCAGATTTATCTCCCTTAATCACAAAGCAACTTCACATATCCCTCTTATAAGCTTAGCAACCTCCTCAGGTGAGGAGTCGTGAAAGGCTCTAGAAGGGTCTACTACCTGTCGTTCCTCCTCTCTAGCCTCAATTTTCTAGTGTCTGTCCAAAGAAGAGTATGGCCCAGGATGATCTGTAGGGAGCCTTTTACAAAACCACGTGCCAATAGACCCTAACTTAGTGAATGTGGAGGCAGACTTCTGTATGGTTTTGAGTTCCCGGTGATCTGACAACCAACGTAGAAAGCACCGTCATAGCCAAACACTAAGGCCGTGGTGCCATGATGACAATTCTACTGCTCCTCTATGTCACCAACAAAAACAACTTGCTTTCCAGGACTGACCATTGGCGCTGGCTGCAGCCTGGCCCAGGTGAAGGACATCTTGGCTAAGAGCATCTCTGAGCTCCCGGAGGAGAAAACTCAGACCTACCAGGCCCTCCTGAAGCACCTGCGGAGCCTGGCAGGCCAGCAGATCCGGAACATGGCAGTAAGTTCCCTGCTTCAATCACAGGGCACATGGCACCTGGGTCTTAATATCCCTGAAATATCAAATAAGAGCACTGGCAGAATCCTATGATAAAAGATCTCAGCAGATTGAAGCAACAGGCATAATAAATAAATGTTTAAAGTTGACAAATGTTATTTAATAAAATATTTAAAGGAGAACTCTTAAATCAAATCCACAGTGACTAAGCAGCAACACAGGTGAGAAAGGGACATGATGGTTTTGTTAATTTCACAATAAGCCTGTCAAAGAACCTAGTTTAGTCAGAGGCTGCATTCACAGAAATATCTCTAAACTATTCAAACAGAAGAAAGGAAACAAAACAGTTCTGAGATACTAAAGGTATCTGTCCATGGTGTGCATAACCAACACCATGGTGTGGCCCATTTCGGAGTCCATGAGGAAGAAGCTGAGATCCTGTATATAAAAGCAGGACAGCATTTCTGTGGCTGGCCCCTTGGCCATCTGCCCTGTCAGAATTGGCCACTGAACTCACATCCTATCTGGTGGACCTTGGTCAAGTTTCACTATTTCTCTGTGCCCATTGTCTTCAGCCATGAAAGAGGGCTAATGGCCTCCATCTCACTGGGTTGTTTGAGAAGGCCATAAGCAGGCGCCTATGGGGCAGAAGAACTGAGAGACTGACTGAGCTGTCACTCTCTGTCCCTAGTCCTTCGGAGGACATATTATAAGCCGGCACTGCTATTCAGATCTGAACCCAGTTCTCGCTGTGGGTAATGCTGTTGTCAATCTGCTATCCACAGGTAAGTCCCTCAGGGCTGGAGGTGTGGCTCCAGAGGTAGAGCGCCTGCTTTGCAAGCACAAAACCCTGAGCTCAAACCCCAATCCCTCCCTTCCAAAAAAAGAAAAAAGAAGGTAAGTACCCCAGAACACTCTGAACAGCATGTAAAGATTTTTTGACTTTCTGTTAATTTTTTTTTTAATTACGTAGTTGCTTTAAGCCACAGCTCAGATCATTGGTTCACCATGGGAAACATCTGTCATGGGGGAAGGCACATTGAGCAGGGACCATCATGCTTCCTTCTGGCAACACACACACACACACACACACACACACACACACACTCAGTTAACCCATGTGTTCTTGCCTGGGCCGCATACACTGGGTGTGGTACGCAGAGGCCAATGAGAGAGCAAGGTTTCAGTGAGCACCTCCTTGTGACCTGAGGGACCACTCCTGCCTTCCCCCTCCTCCTGGCAGACCTCCGTCCACCAACACCGTCTGAAGCTCCCCTGAGGCACCTTCTAAACCCCCCTCGCCTTCCTCAAGTGCTACATAAGAAGCCATAAGTCTGGGGAGGACTTACAGCAGACATCCAAACATGTGAGCCCCTGGGTGGGAAAGGAGGTAGTGATTCATTTTAATTGCTGGCTGGAACATTCCCTTGGGGTAGCTCCCTGCTAAACTGCCCTTCCAGCTTGTGCATTCACACTGCCTCTGACCACTCTGCAGAGGCTAACACACCCTGGACTGAAGGCCAACTACATGCCAAGCTGTGCTGGACACTTCACATACTTCATCTCCAGCCAGTGTAACTCCCAGCATGGCTCACTTGTCCAGAGAATGATCAGATGCTATCTTAGTTTGGTGCTGCTATAACCAAATACTGAGGCTGGATAATTTATAAAGCACAGAAATTTATCTCTCACAGTTCTAGAGGCTAGAGAGTCCAAGATCAAGGTGCTGGCATCTGGTGAGGGTCTTCTTGCTGTTTTATCCCATGATAGAAGGCAGAAAGACAAGAGAGAGCAGAAGGAGGCAAACTCATCCTTTTGTAATGGCACATAGCAAACCCATGAGGTTGGAGCCCATGTGATCTACTCACCTTTTAAGGGTCGCATCTCTCTGCTCCCTTCAACCCCATGATTGAGATCCATCCCTGACCCTTGCACATGGTAGGCAAGTACTCTACCACTGAACTACACCCCTAGCTCAAAGATCCCATCTTTTAATATTGCAATATTGAAATTTAATGGCAATTAAATTCACAAAGTACATGAGTTTTGGAGGGGATGTTCAAACCTTAGCTGTGAGCCCCAAACTGTCCCATTTCCCAATGAGTATGCTCCCCCTTCTCCCCAAGTCATACTGTCCTCTCCCCAGGCCTCCAGCTCTAAAATGCCCCTCTGCCTTCCTCACCCATAACCAGTCCAATACCTACTCCCTCTGTCCCTCCCACCCCTCCAATGAGCCATTGGCAGTGTGCCCCAGGCACAAGGAGTACAAAAGAACTAATTGCAGTTCTGCACCTGTGGGCTTCCAGGCTGCATGTGCCCAGGAAAGCCATCCTCCCTGAGGTGTTTGTTGGCTAACACAAGCCCATCCCTCTCAGATGGGAGTGCAGACATGGTGAGGACAGGCTTGGGGGCTGGGGAAAGCATTCATCCCTACAGCTCTTACCTACTGGGCTTTGCGTGAAGCCAGCCAGGAGGCAAGGGACTTTTCACTGAGTGTTCCAGGCCTACAATTTGGGATGACCCCTTCCCCCTGCCACCTGGCTCCCCAGAGACCAAGAGAGAAGAAGCCAAGACTTCGGGGGCCCCAGGATGGTGAGGGTAGCCTGATCCCCATCCAGGGCTTTCTACTATAATGGTAGTGGCACTGTTCCTTTGGCTGATAGTCTCTGCTTTCCTAGCTCGGCCAAAGCCATCTCTACCCTAGAAAGCACAGTCCCCACTCCAGTGAGAACGGCAGATCAGCTGATCAGTTGATCAGCAGCAGGGCAGTGGGCTAAGATCAGCAGGGGCTCCCTGGGATTCCCCACGCCCTCACATCTACAACTGCATTCCAACCAGCACAGTGCTAACGGTGTCAGGGAGGGAACCTAGGTCATTCCTATGTAGTTTGACCTCTTCAGGACACAAACTACGTTTTGAAGCCAGAGGGCACAGCTCTGATCACCAAGAGGTGACAGCTGAGCAGGAAGGTGTTGTAAACTGTTCACTTCGCTGTAGAAGTGTGAGTTGCATAGGAGCTCAGAACAGCAGCAAATACAAAAACAAACCCAATAATCTGAACTCTATCAATAGTGGAAGTAGTGTTTATACCTGTGCCTTAATCCTGAGTCTTGAGCAGGTTCTATTTAACTAGCAGCATCTGCTGAAAGATGAAAACCCATCAGCCTGGCAGGCCTGTAAGGTGGAGGTGACCTCAGTGCACATGGCACATGAGCAGTGGAGGGACAGGCCTCCTGCAACAGTGTCATGGACTCAGACCTCTGCATCATTCTGTTCACAAGTGTACCTTCTTTTCTCACAGTCAGCATTTAAACATACAGGATGTTCTTGCTTTTCTTGTTGTGACTGTGCAGAAATGCCATTTTCTTCCACAGAGGGTACACGACAGATTCCTCTAAATGAACATTTTCTAGCTAGGTTGGCAAGTACAGACCTCCAGCCAGAGGAGATTTTGGAATCTGTTCACATTCCTCACTCTCAAAAGGTAAGAATCCCGCTGGTTGCTCTGAAGTTGCCTTTCCCTTGTCATAACAGAGTCCAGTCATCTTTAGAAATATGAAAACAGATGGAAGGAAAATAACTGCCCTAAAAACCTGTTTCCTGTCCCAGTACAAATTAGTTCCACACCAAGGCCCTGGACTAGCCACAAGCATGCCACTCCAGGGTGTTGTTGCAGCTGTGGGGTGCAGCCTAAGGAGGGCCTGTGCTCATGCTTCCCGCCCTGAGTTTCCACGGGTGAAAGTTCTCTGGCTGTGGCATGGAGCTTCTATACCTGGCCCACAGGGAGACAAGAGTCCAGGGCCTCCAGATGTTTGCTAGGCTGGGATCCCTGGGGTTGATGTGGCCACCCAGCTGGCCACAGAGGTAGCCTTCTGCCCTCACTCCTTGTTCCTTGTCCCTTGCTCCAAACCTGTGCCTGAATCCAAGAAGACAGGCTTCCCTGAGAGAGGCAATAAGAGAGAGACTCACAGCAATTTAAAGCCAGGAGGTAGCCCACATGCAGGAAGTCTTGTTTTGTTAGTTTCAGCCATGAATGTTCTTCATTAGTTTTTCCTTTGGGATGTAAACTTTGAAATGTATTCCCATTCAAAAGCATGTGTAAAGGCAGCAGACAGAAAATCAGGCAGATCAAACCTGAGCACCCTCAGAGAAATGCATCAAGGGACACAGGCCATCTTCATTGGCCCCATCTTGGGCACACCAGAGACCAGGGTGCCAAGGGGCCACTGAGGCAGCCATTGCCCCCAACTCCTGATCCTGATACAGGATTTTCTAGTCCAGTGTTGAAAATTTCTGTGGCTCCCTTTTGAGTTTCACCAAATAGAAAAGCGATCATTTCTACAAACTGAGAAATGGGGTGGGTGTTCTTTGAACTTTAAAAGCCCCTGTGTTCAGAGGACTCCACCATCTTCACAGAGGACAAAGCCACGTGAAAACTAGCAGGAATGGCTCCTGAAAACACAAGCACGTAGCAGTGGTTCCAGGCAGGGTCTCCACAGGAACTCCATACAGAGTCCTGGCCTCAGAAGGAAAGTGCACATTGAAGGTGTCCGGGGCCTTGGAAACGGGCCTTTGGAAGGACACCATTCTTACTTTAAACAAGCAGGCAGTCAGGGTGTCCTCTGCTGTCCATTCTGCTCCTTTAGAGTGCTTCTAAGTAATTAGAGGCACCAAGAAGCAGAAACCATATTCTTTGTTCTGATATATCAGATAACCCCAATGGTTTTTGTCTCCACAGTGGGAATTTGTGGCCGCCTTCCGAATGGCTCAGTGCCAGCAAAATGCCTTGCCTGATGTGAATGCTGGCATGCGAGTCCTGTTCAAAGAAGGCACAGACACCATTGAGGACCTGAGCATCTCCTACGGAGGGCTGGGGGCTGCCACAGTCAGTGCGCCCAAATCCTGCCTGCAGCTCCTGGGCAGGTAAGCTATGAACCCTGCACCCTGAGGGCGAAACTTGATAGTGCAAAACCAAGAGGGAATTTGGCTCTGGCAGGTGCTGGGAAAGTCCTGGAAAGATGGAAATTCCTCCTTGTAAGATCACCGCTTGCTCTTTCTGTACTTTTGCTGAATGAACTAAACCTTTGTTGACCTCAATTATGCCTTTCTTTGGATTGAGGAACACAACAAAACCCAGGCCTCAGTTTCAGCCAGCAGGTGGTGTTTCCCAGCTGGCCCTCATTCCCTTCTGCAGATCAGTGCTGTGCACAGGGCAGAGTCCATGCAGCACCAAACCCTTCCACCGCGGGGTGCACTCCATTTCTTCCTGAATAAAGGCGGCACTCGGGGTCCTGTTCATTCACAGTAGTTAATGGTCCGCTTACTTAGTACTTGGTTCTAGTATGCACTGACTCTCGAGCATGCTTGATTTATGTTGCAATGGAAGAGGTCCTGTCCTCACCCTGCTGTGGCTCTTGGGTCTCCCCAGGTCGTGATGCTCCAGAAAGGCTTGATAAGGTGATATCTAAGCTCCCTTCCAATTCAATAAATGAAACTCTGGGCTCCCTAAAATGTGACATGCTATGCAATCAAGGCTGCCCTTTAACTGGCTCCTTCCTGCCTCTAATCCTACCAGGCGCTGGAATGAGCTGATGCTGGACGAGGCTTGCAGGCTGCTTCTGGATGAGGTCTCCCTCCCAGGTTCAGCTCCCGGGGGCAAGGTAGAGTTCAAGAGGACTCTGGTAGTGAGCTTCCTCTTCAGGTTCTACCTGGAGGTTTTGCAGAAACTGAAGGCACAAGTAAAGCTGTTCTCTATGCAGGTAAGTGCGTGATGGATGAGATTGCTTGGGCTGCTGTCACACCAGTTACTGTCTCACGGTGTTGGAGGCTAGAGGTCCTTGATCAGGTGTCGGCAGGATTGGTTTTTCTCTATTCCATGCCTCTTGCCTAACTTCCAGTGGTTTTCTGGCAATCTCTGGGGTATCTTAGCTGTAGAAGTGTCACCCTGATATCTGCCTTCACATGACATTCTCCCTTTATGCAAGTCTGTCTCCAAATTTTCCCTTCTTATAATGACACCAGCCATATTGGGTTACAGCCCATCCTAATGACCTCATTTCACTTAATTACTTCTGTAGTAAAGATCCTACCTTGTTTTGATAAGGTCACATTCTGAGGTATTCAGGGTTAGGGCTTCATAGAAATTTGGGAGGATGCAAATCAACTCATAACACCTGGTTTTGCAGTCTGTAAGTTCCCAGCTTTCCCACTGCTTTTGCAAACTGTCTGTGGGCAGCCTATGTCACCTGTTGAGTCAGGCCTTGTTAGTTCCCATCAGCCCTCCTCAGAGATTCAGCCCTAAAGGTCTACATGAAACTCCAGGTGTCAAACTCTCTTCAGCCCACACTGCTGAGCACTGAAACATGTTGCCTCTGCCTCCAGTGTATGATTTTTTTTCTTTTAAAATTAACTTTACTGAAATATAATTTAAAGTCAGGAAATTGTACCTATTTAAATTCAGTGCATTTTTTGACAAATTGAATACCTGTGTAGCCACCACCTTAATGTACTAGATATGGAGCATTTCTGTCACCTCAAAGAGTGAGCACGCTGTGCCTGCTATGTCACCACCCACCCTTGCCCAGGCAACCACTGATCTGCTTTGTGATGTTATAAATTCCTTTTGTTTTTTCTAGAATTTTATAGCCAGTATGAATTTGTCAGACTTTTCGTCATTGGGACCAACTATCCAAGAAAAGCAACTTAAAGAAGGAAAGATTTATTTTGGCTCATGGTTTCCAGGGTTTAGTCCATCATGGTGGAGCAGAGCAGTTCATATCACATAGGCTAAGAAGCAGAGAGAAACACACAGAGATAGAGGCAGAGAGAGAAAGGGGACAGGGACAGGATATCCCCAAGAAACCATCCTTACTAACCTACTTTCTCTAGCTAAGTACCACCTACCAAAGTTTCCAAAACCTCCCAAAATAGCACCACCAGCTGGGGAACTAAGCATTCAAAATATAAGTCTGTGGGGAATATTCCATATTCAAAACCATAACAAAATGCAAAAAAAAAACCAATTTTTTTTTTTTTTCAAAAAGACCAGAACTGATACTCTCTCTCTTTCTCTCTCTCTCTTTCCTCCTCCATTCTGACCATGATTACAACTCTCACCCCACCGGGTACACTGTTCCTAAAACTTCTGCATTTCATTGACTCACATGAAGACCTGCCATTTGGTTTCTGAGTCAACATCCAGAAGCAGCCTTCCCAGTTCTACTACTCTCTCAGAAAAACTGAGTTCCTGAGGAAGCATTCAGGATTTGACCCTGCTTTATTCTGGGATGGGTTTATCCAGCCCAGTTACTGATGTTCCCACCCCCATCCCCCAGCTCACTGGCAGGCCTCTCCCTCCAGGGTGCCGTGGGGATCAGATTCAAACCAGTCAGTCCAGGTCCTCCCAGTGTGGGAAAGGACAAGGAGTAGAAGGGCTTTCATAAGAAGAAGCGCTGGGAGGTAGTGTGGACTTTGGTTGTCCACACTGGGGGGTTAATTTTCACATAACCCCAAGACCAATTCATCCAGGCTAATGAGCGCCTCTCTATTGTGCTGAATCATCTCAGGCCAGCCATTGTTATCCTGAACTTGCAGACCCATTCCTAAATGCTCTGGAAGATTTCCCGGTCACAATACCCCAGGGAGTCCAAACGTACCAGGTCAGTGAGTTTAATTTCACTGAAACCTAGATGTTAAGAGATAAGCTAGGGCTGTGCTCAGCGAATGAGTAAGCTTTTCAGAGTTGCGATTTTTAGTTCTGACTGTCTAGTTGTTCCTCGTCCAAGGTTAGGCCTGAGCTGGCCCTGGATTACTCAAGGCTGAACCATCTGACTGATATACAAATTAATAATTATAGTCTCCTCAAAGTGATACTCTTTGGGCATTTGTTTGATATTTACTCAGAAGAGCCCAAAGCTTCAGCCTCCAGCCCTGATTGCAAATGTTTGATCTCCAGTCAGCAAACAAGAGCCCTTCAAGTGACTGAGCTCACCCTTTTGGGAGGACAATTGAGAAATTATGTAGTCTTGCTAGAGCACAGCTCCTCCCCCAGCCCCTACACACATACACAGACCTCTCTGGAGAAGCGCTCCAAAACAAACTCTCTCTCCATCTCCTTGTACACCTGTTGATCTATTTTGTGCCACTTACGGGGCTGGCCAGGATACCTTAATCTGGATCAGGAGAATTCAATTCCCATCCCCCACTCTCTGCCAGAAGCCCTGATCGAGCCTATACTCAGGTTTCTCACTCGGATTTTGGCCCATTGTCGTTGGAATCTATATCCTGTAGCCCTCGTCATAAAGATGCTTTTTGTGGGCACAGGTCGATCATTGGAATGGTGAGCCAGCAGGACAGGGAGACCCTCTAAATTGCCAAAAAAAAAGGTGAGGTGGGGGTGGCTGTTACAGGGGCACCACAGAGGGAGAAAGCAGTGTCCCTTCACCTACTTCAATTTTGACGATAGGTTGGCCCTGTCTGAGACATTGCCACAAAACAGAAATGACAATTTCCCATTCCAGTTGCCTCATTAAATTGTCATGCTCATTATGTGACACCCCACACACCCCGCCCGTGTCCTGTTGCTCAATCCTGAGTCAGGAGTGCTGGTGATTGGCCAGGCACCTGCTCGTGGAGATGAAAGGATTCTAAGGGCGACTCTCGTCTTCCTCTGCAGAGAGTGGATTCTCACCAGCCTCTCCAAGATCCAGTTGGACGTCCTATCATGCACCTGTCAGGTCTTAAACATGCCACAGGTGAAGCCATATTTTGTGATGACATCCCCAAAGTAGATAAAGAACTTTCCATGGCTTTGGTGACCAGTACCAGGGCTCATGCAAAAATCATGTAAGTAAACCAAAAGTTGTCAAAAGCCTTTTAAGGGCACACCTGTGGATTCTCTCCTAGGAATGTGCCCATTTCTCCTGCAATGTCCTGAACTTAAAATGAAAGGAATAAAGAAAAGTTTGCCAAACCGGAAGGAGGAAGGCAGAGCAGCATCAAGAAATAACCTTCATGAAAGCGAGAATTTAAAAATCACAGTTATGGGGCTCTTGTTTCCTTTCTAACCCTACAAAACCTCATCTCCCTGTTGTAGCCGCAGGTGTAGACCAAAGGAGACACTGATACCGGGTGCTATTCAGCTGGTGATGAAACACTGAACTACCACTTCATTATTGAATAGTAAAGGACCTGTGTCCCAAGCTTCCAAAGAATGCTCCTTCCCCAACAATATGCTCCCCCCACCTTTACCCCAGCAATTAACAGTGCTACCCTTGGCCCAACAGCCAGTCTCCTGGACCCTATCCAGGAGAGGTCCATTTTCATTGGTCAGGCTGGATTCATTGTTAACTATTTTTATTTCCAACCATACTCTATCCTTCCCTCAAAGCCTGCTCATTTCTACTTCTTAAATATCTCTCTGTGCAGATCAATTGATTCATCAGAGGCCCTTAAACTACCTGGGGTGGTTGATGTGATAACAGCTGAAGATATTCCAGGAACTAATGGTGCAGAAGCTGACAAATTGTTGGCTGTAGATGAGGTACGTATAGGACCTGTTCTCCCAAATATTTTGGTGCAGATAATCACCAAGGGACCATCTTCAGCCACCTCTCCCTTTCTACCTCTCAGTTCTTTCTACCACTGAGGGGTAGAAGTGGAAAGCCTATTTGGCTCCTCCCTACCCCCACCATTAACATAGTGCAAAGAAAACCATCACAGTCCTAATTCAGCCACCATGTGCGCTTGGATTCATTTACCTTCATCTGGAGTAAATGCAAGGAACTGATCCATATCAAGATAGAATGACTACTTAAAAGATCTTGAAAGGAGAGTACAAAAAAACCCAATTCCTCTTATTTACACTGAACTCCCTCCCTTCCTTAACCAGTCTTTGCCCCATGTCCTTCCTTCTTTCACACACTCCGTTTTTAATAAAAAGTCTCTGACTTTTTAACTGAAATTCAGCAATCACTCATTGAGCCCCTGACTTTGGGACCAGACTGTGTAGGTTTCTGTTCCAGTTCTTCTACTCACCAGCTGTGTGCCTTGGGTTTCATCATCTGTAAAAGACAAAGAATCACAGCACCCACGTCATTGTGTCATTATAGGATTTAAATGAGTAAATTCACATAAAGTGCTTTGGACAGTGGTTGGCACATAATGGCTTTCACTAAGTTCTAGGTATTATTATTGTCACATCTCAGTGAGCCCCACAGTTTCTCCTCTAGCCATGATGCAAATCGTTCTTTTGGTTCACCTCCATCTGAAGAGGTTGGCTGTCATTTAGCAGCTGTATTAGTCTACTTGGCCTGCCATAATAAAATACCACAGACTGACACCACGTGTTGGTGACTCACACCTGTAATCTCAGCTACTCGGGAGGATATAGGTTAGAAATCAGCAAGGGCAAAAAGTTCACAAAACTCTATCTCAGTTAATACTAGGAACAGAGCAATCCCTGCAATCCCAAACTATGCGGGAGGCTGAGATAGGGAGCATCACAGTTCAGGCAAGGGAAGGAGGAATATGAGACCTCATCTCAATGGGAGAAAGCTGAGTTGTGGTAGTGTGCACCTGTCTTCCCAGCTGTAATGGGAAGCATAAGTAGTAGGATCACAGTCCAGGCAAGCCTGAGAAAAAAGCAAAATGCTATAATTACTGCAAAAAAGGGCTGGAGGAGTGGCTCAAGAGGTCGAGTACCTGCCTAGCAAGTGTGAAGCCCTGAGATCAAACCCCAGTACCATCAAGAAAACAAACAAACAAACACCCATGGGCTGAGAGGCTTAAACAACAGCAATTTATTGTCTCACTGTTCTGAAGCTTGAGTCCAAGGTCAAGGTGTTGGCCAGTAGATTTGGTTTCTAAGACTTCTTTTCTTGGCTTAAAGATGGCTGCTTCTCATTGTGTCCTCGTGTGACCTTTTTCCTCTTCACAGACATCCCTGGTGTCTCTTCCCCTTCTTATAAAGTCACCAGTCATATTGCACTAGGGCCCCACCCTTATGACATTATTCAACCTTAACGACTTCTGTAAATGTCCTGTCTCCAAATTTAATCACATTGGAGACTAGGGCTTCCACATATGAGTATGGGGAATACAGTTCAGTCCACAAGGAGCCACGTAGTACAAAATATACTTTGCTTATTCTTAAAGTGAAACCACAAAGGTGACACATGTGAACCCAGCTCAACAGAGGACAGATGCAGATTGCAGCCAATCTCACATCCATTCTGGTGCTTGCACTCACTGAGTAAAATGGCCAATGGAACTGTCTGTATTATTTACATTACTTTTTTATTAAAAAAATGTAGTGCAAGGCCCTCAGTTCAAACCCCATTACAACCAAAACAACCTTTTTTCTAAGTGCCAGGCATGGTGGTATATGCCTGTAATCCCAGAACTTGGGAGACTGAGGCAGGAGGATTTCTTGAGTTCAGGGCCAGCTTGGGCTACATAGCAAGACCCTATCTCAGAAAACAAAACAAAAAAATTTTTTTTAGCCAAGCACATGTAGTTAAATGTGCTACAATGAGGTTTTTTTTTTTTTTTTGTCCTGGGTGGGGGTACATTGTGGCATTTACAAAGTTCTTACAATGTATCAGCTATATCACCCCTTCCACCTCTCCATTTAACTCCTCTCCCCCATTCGAGGAATAGCTTCCACAGGTATCATTTTTGCATTTACATGCATGTGTACACATTTTTTACACTGTTCACTCTACAATGAGGTTTTATTGCTCAATGATGACATCTAAGACACTACTAATGAGGTTGAGCAAAGCCTACTCCCATCCATAATGTTCCATCCACTTTACACATGTACTTTCTTTCCACAGGTACTTTGTGTGAAGTGGTCAATCCAGGGCTTATATGGTACCTTAATATATTTTGTGCTGCTATAACAGAATTCCTGAGACTAAGCAGTTTAAAATGAGTAAAATATTTTTTTCATGGTTCTGGAGTCTGAGGAGTCCAAGATTGAAGGAATTCATCTTGTGCTTTACTGTCCATGTCAATGCAGGTGAACTAAGGACTAAAAAGTGTGTGTGTCTCGCAATTGGTGTTCAAGGATAGAGAGGGAGAGAAGGAGAGTCATGAAGATAAGAACAGAGCAACGACAGATCCAAGACTTCTGTTTTTATAGCAATCCCACTCTCTTGATAATGACACTACTCCTATAACTATATTAACCCCATCCAGAGAGCCAAGCCCCCATGAACTAATCATCTCTTTTTTTTTTCCATTTTTCTTTTATTATTCATATACAAGGCTTTGGTTCAAATTCTCTCCCCTAAGCCCCCACCCCCTCGCCCTACCAACCCACTCCGCCCTCCTCTCCCCCCCTCAAATACCCAGCAGAAACTATTTTGCCCTTATCTCTAATTTGTGTAGAGAGAGTATAAGCAATAATAGGAAGGAACAAGGGTTTTTGCTGGTTGAGATAAGGATAGCTATACAGGGATTGACTCACATGATTTCCCTGTGCGTGGGTGTTTACCTCTAGGTTAATTCTTTTTGATCTAACCTTTCTCTAGTTCCTGTTCCCCTTTTCCTATTGCCTCAGTTGCTTTTAAGGTATCTGCTTTAGTTTCTCTGCATTAAGGGCAACAAATGCTAGCTAGTTTTTTAGGTGTCTTACCTATCCTCACCCCTCCCTTGTGTGCTCTCGCTTTTATATCATGTGCTCATAGTCCAATCCCCTTGTTGTGTTTGCCCTTGATCTAATGTCCACATATGAGGGAGAACATACGATTTTTGGTCTTTTGAGGCCAGGCTAACCTCACTCAGAATGATGTTCTCCAATTCCATCCATTTACCAGCGAATGATAACATTTCGTTCTTCTTCATGGCTGCATAAAATTCCATTGTGTATAGATACCACATTTTCTTAATCCATTCGTCAGTGGTGGGGCATCTTGGCTGTTTTCATAACTTGGCTATTGTGAATAGTGCTGCAATAAACATGGATGTGCAGGTGCCTCTGGAGTAAAGTCTTTTGGGTATATCCCCAAGAGTGGTATTGCTGGATCAAATGGTAGATCGATGTCCAGCTTTTTAAGTAGCCTCCAAATTTTTTTCCAGAGTGGTTGTACTAGTCTACATTCCCACCAACAGTGTAAGAGGGTTCCTTTTTCCCCGCATCCTCGCCAACACCTGTTGTTGTGTGTGTTGCTGATGATGGCTATTCTAACAGGGGTGAGGTGGAATCTTAGTGTGGTTTTAATTTGCATTTCCTTTATTGCTAGAGATGGTGAGCATTTTTCATGTGTTTTTGGCCATTTGAATTTCTTCTTTTGAGAAAGTTCTGTTTAGTTCACTGCCCATTTCTTTATTGGTTCATTAGTTTTGGGAGAATTTAGTTTTTTAAGTTCCCTGTATATTCTGGTTATCAGTCCTTTGTCTGATGTATAGTTGGCAAATATTTTCTCCCACTCTGTGGGTGTCTCTTCAGTTTAGAGACCATTTCTTTTGATGAACAGAAGCTTTTTAGTTTTATGAGGTCCCATTTATCTATGCTATCTCTTAGTTGCTGTGCTGCTGGGGTTTCATTGAGAAAGTTCTTACCTATACCTACTAACTCCAGAGTATTTCCTACTCTTTCTTGTATCAACTTAGAGTTTGGGTCTGATATTAAGATCCTTGATCCATTTTGAGTTAATCTTGGTATAGGGTGATATACATGGATCTAGTTTCAGTTTTTTGCAGACTGCTAACCAGTTTTCCCAGCAGTTTTTGTTGAAGAGGCTGCTATTTCTCCATCGTATATTTTTAGCTCCTTTGTCAAAGATAAGTTGCTTATACTTGTGTGGCTTCATATCTGGGTCCTCTATTCTGTTCCACTGGTCTTCATGTCTGTTTTTGTGCAGGTACCATGCTGTTTTTATTGTTATTGCTTTGTAATATAGTTTGAAGTCAGGTATTGTGATACCTCCTGCATTGTTCTTTTGACTGAGTATTGCCTTGGCTATTCGTGGCCTCTTGTGTTTCCATATAAATTTAACAGTAGATTTTTCAATCTCTTTAATGAATGTCATTGGAATTTTGATGGGAATTGCATTAAACATGTAGATTACTTTTGGGAGTATCGACATTTTTACTATGTTGATTCTACCAATCCATGAGCATGGGAGATCTCTCCACTTTCTATAGTCTTCCTCAATCTCTTTCTTCAGAAGTGTATAGTTTTCCTTGTAGAGGTCTTTCACATCTTTTGTTAGGTTTACACCTAGGTATTTGATTTTTTTGAGGCTATTGTAAATGGAATTGTTTTCATACATTCTTTTTCCGTTTGCTCATTGTTAGTGTATAGAAATGCTAATGATTTTTCTATGTTGATTTTATATCCTGCTACCTTGCTATAGCTATTGATGATGTCTAGAAGCTTCTGAGTAGAGTTTTTTGGGTCTTTAAGGTATAGGATCATGTCGTCTGCAAATAGGGATATTTTGACAGTTTCTTTACCTATTTGTATTCCTTTTATTCCTTCTTCTTGCCTAATTGCTCTGGCTAGGAATTCCAGTACTATGTTGAATAGGAGTG